TGTGTGTGTGTGTGTGTGTCTGTGTGTGTGTCTGTGTGTGTGAGAGTGTGTGTGTGTGTGTCTGTCTCTGTGTGTGTCTTCACATTTACCTCTCACGTGAACGCGGCTGGGGTTTCCTGCAGCATGCCGCGCCATGTGACACACACATGCAGGCGCCGTGTGCTGCGCTGAGCTGCAAACAGGAGCTTGTCACGGCATGAAGCTGCCTCCCTCTCATCCCTCCCTCACTCTCTCACTCTCACTTTCACCCTCCCCTCCCGCTCTCTCCACTTCCCGTCCAGTCTTCCTCTCCCTCCCCGGCCGGGCTCCGCTCCGACACAGCCTGGACTCGGAGCCAAGGCACAGGCTGTACCCTGCAGAGATCACATGGACTCTGGTGTGCTTTTGTCACGTGCGCGTTCCAGCTTGCAGAGTCTCATCTAACCAGCCACTCCACCAGCACCAGCACCACCACCACCCACAACAACAACCACAGTCCCTCTGTGTTCTGCCTGATGGCAAGCCATACAGCAGGCGGCCCATAAAGTTGTTATCACAAGCCAAGAACAAGATGAATGGGCGTTTCTTCAGGCTCTTCAGGCCCGCAGACCTTGAGGGACTGTGTCAGGGGTGGTTCAGGAGATGGACCCCTGTGTTCTGTTGGCAGGGTCCAAAGGGGAAGTCAGATGTAGGAGGGGTCAAAGGGTGTATTGTGGCGCATTCCAGTGTGTTAGTCAAGGAACGAGGGCTCTGTGGGAGGCGTAAATCAGCACATTTGGGGAGCGAAATGTCTCTGAGATCATATACTTATCAACACGTACTGCAGGAATAATGCAGTGTGTCAGGCAGCAATCAGTCAATACTTATCACACTCACACACTCAATATTTCACCCATTTAGGTTTCTTCCTCATGGTTGCAGTAGCCAATTTCCTCTGGCCCGGTTTCTAGCAGACCGAGGAGCGTTCCTCTCAGATGTCTTGTCATGTGGCCTGTGGACAGGATCAGCATGTCCTGCAAGACCGACCGAGTCCTCTTGACTTGTGTGTCACAGAAGCAAAAATAACTTGTGCAGGGTTTAGTTGATGTCCTGCAGGTGAGAAAAGTGCAAGTGCTGGTTTGTTTTTCTTATTGTCAACGAATTTCATTGAAAGGACAGTTTCATTTTTGTTAAGAGTTCCTAAACAGCTGCTCACTGTGGTCTTTAACAAACGTGACACAAACAGGAGCTAATGGAGCATTGCTTGGGGACTATTTTCAGCTGCGGATTAATGCACATTTAGTTCTCTAGTGGGTATTTATGGGAGCAGGACGGCGTATGTGGGATTGAGTCAAAATAAACTATACTTGTTTGGATCAATGAATTATTAGTTTTGGTCTTTTAATGAGATTTGTTGACAATATGAAAAATAAGGAGTATCATTCCTGCAGTCATGTGAGCCAGTTCGACCTTCTGAAGAAAGGAAAAACCAGTTGAGGCAGCCTTGTTAAAATTCGGAAACTTATTTTAAAGCCAGTTAGGAAAAAAATC